CACACACACAAACAGCAGGCAATCAATTTACGTAATGGCGAGAGCGCTGAAGCGAGACGGATTGCAGACGCTCTGATCGCCACAGCCCCCATCGGACCTTGGCGTTCACGCCAGCCACGGCCGCCCATTTGTGATTCGGCTCCTTTCTGCGTTCCGGTTGAACATCCACACTTCGTGTTATCGCGTGGAGAGGCTTGATCTTTGTGCTGAGCAGCAAAAGATCCACTCGACGCAGCCCTTTCTCAGGCACCGACGGACGTAGACTTCCCTGGGCTACAAGATGTGTCTGACGTCCTAGGAGAAGCCACAAAGATGGCATGACCAGAGGGGCGTTGGAAAATTGGTTTTCGAAGAAGTCTACAACAAATTCACGTTGCAATATCACTCCATTCGTGCCTTCGAACGAAATGAAAGATACTCCAACGGGATCTCGGCCTTTTTGGCTATAATAGGCTAATCGGTTTATTTGGTGTGGCTGTGATGATTAGTGCGGGACTCATGTGGGAATTCGGCTCTTCCAAATGAGGTGAGTCATTCTCTGGACGCACTTATTGAAGCAAACTACTCATCGGATAGACGTCCTGTAAATGCCAAGAAGGATATCCAACCGGAGGTGATGTGTCATTCTGTCGAACCCATTTCCGTCTCGAGTGAAAGTGTTCGCTGGACAGTTTCCAGGCTCGATCCCGCCGGAAGAAAACTGCGGATTCTCCCTGACAAGCTGTCGATTGGCTTTAGTGGAACATTCTCTTTGACGCTGTTGCCAAGGCAATAGTATGCAAGAGGTTGTTTGACCTTGTTTTCGCAACATGGTCATCCTGGTAGGAAGACTTGGAGGAACGCACCTGGTCCGGAGTTCATTGTCTGCATGATCACTGCCAAAGTTGAGCCGTGGACGTGGTGCATTCCTGGACGCTTCGCCGGTATGGTCAGTGAGTTTTGCCATTCTTAGTATCATACTATAACTCGTCAAAAAGACAATTGAAGCCGATCCTTTGACCAAATGTGTGTGTGTGTGGTATAACTAGTTCATTGACTGTTCACCTCTCTTATACTCTCGTATCACGCCTTCACCATCACAGTTTTTTCCTTGCTCATTTAAGTCTAGTGTGGTGTGTTTTCTTTTGAGCGGCTTTCACGAGAAGCCTCCACACTCCACGCTGGCGTTCCCAACCCCCTTTACTCTTGTGCAGGGAATGTCGATCAGAGTCTGCTTTCCTAGTCTTATCACAGTCTCTATCTTGCTCCGTAAAATCCGTCTGCTCTATCCCTTGTTCACCAATTTCACTCGACCCCTGCCACCACATCTGTCCCACTCGAGGCGTTATTCGCCCTCCCCTGCGTCTGGGCGACTAATTCGAGGCGCGAGCCTCTGAGTGTCATGGTCACCCCTGTGCTGAATGTACCACGTCTCTGGTACAACAGACCTACCGTCAGCCAACCAGCTCCGGTCCCCGCCGTCTCAATCCTGGTTCTATCCCCAATACCAAGTATATGGTTTGCTATGTGTGTCAACCCACAAATGTTGTGGTACAGCTTGTTTTGATTCGGTTCAATGTATGCAAGGCCGGTGAAAAGAGGCTAAGCCTTCGTGAGACGGACATCAACGGGAACGACCATCATCTTTACGACTATACTCAAACTGTTGAGCTTGCTTCCATTTCGAGTGGAAGTGTTGGGTGAAGAGACTCGAAGGTCGGTTCCACCAAAAGACGACGGCGGATTCCTCTTGACCAACTGTCGATTCCGGTGAAAAGGTGCTAAGCTTTCGTCCGTCAATGACGGACATCATCAGAGCGAGATAACATTGTCACAACAAAATTCAAGCTAACGAGTCATATGACGGACGAAACCTTAGCACCTTTTAACCGGAATCGAAGGAGATTGCCTCGGAAACAGCGTCAGCATGAATGTTCCAGTAAAGCCAATCGACAGTTGGTCAAGAGGAATCCGCCGTCGTCTTTTGGCGGAACCGACCTTCGAATCTCTTCACCCAACACTTCCACTCGAAATGGAAGTAGGCTCAACAATTATGAAA